TAACATCCAAATCCACCTGATCTGGTGAACCCGCTACGGGAGTACGGAGATATTACTATTAAACCATTGCAACAAACGAAAGACGTTCAAATAACGCACTTTTGAAACGCGACAACTCTTCTTTGGATAACCAAAGAGCTTTCTAACTGACGGCATTTCACGACGAAATACTTATCTTACTGCGCGAAATTACACGATATGATCGCCACATAGGTGCGCTGACATTGTCAATTTGGAAAGTAAGATGACCAACTTTCTCACTATTCATCGATTTTATGCCGCTTGCTACGTTTAATTTAGAGAATGCACAAACCCTTTTTGCCTACTTGAGCTTTTAGCCGTCATTAACCCACCGACATGTTATTTTCAAGTGCTTTTGCGAAAAAACCTGAACTTCTTTTAACTGTACTAAACTTTCTAATGCGCTGTTGAGAGAATATCGGAATTGAACTCAGATTATTTTACCACTCTGAGTATGGATTCGCCGTCATGGACGATTAAATGTTTCACAAACACCAGCACTTTCATCTGTCACCGATAGAAGACACTTGCTGTGAGCTACCGTTTAAAGTTTAAATTACCGCGCTCCCGTAATAAGAAAGCCGTTAACTTATCAAATCTACCTACCAGTTTTGTTTAGAATATTATCGCGAATTACTAAAGAAAGATAAAGAACCAGGCACACCTGTATCGATCAAACCCTTTAACGTTGACTCAGGATAAGCCTTGTTTCCACTAAAGCGCACCTTCTTGATACGTGCAACTTGCCCTTCTTTTATCTTAATATTCACCGCGTGGCGGTTTCTCGCCAAGGGTTGCAATTCAACGTCCACATCTGCTGAATAGTTACCACGCGCCAAATATTGTTGTTTGATTTCTTTTTGAATACGCGTGAGGGCAGACTTATCTAAAGCGCGGCCTCGAGCAACACCTGCTGCTTTCAATGCAGCTAATAAAGCCTTTGTTTCAATAATATGGTTGCCAGAAATATTTATTTCACCAACGGCTGTACGTTCTTTCACGTTAACAACAAGCACATGGCCTCGTTTGGCAAGACTCACATCTTCAAACAAGCCCGTTTTATACAAAGAACTGATCATTTGCGCTGACATACGATCATCGAAAGTATCGCCCACACCAACCGACATGTTACTTAATACCGTACCCGCCGCAACGCGCTCTAGACCTTTTATTTCAATATCTTGAAGAACAAAACTGGCTGCCCATACACCTTGACTTATCGCAAATAGACAACTTGCCAAAGAGAGTTGAAGTGCTTTTTTCGTCATAATTTTTAACCAAATAATCGCGTTATGTCGTTATATATAGCCAGTACCATTAAACAACCGACCAATACCATTCCTATTTGCATTCCCGCTGCCTCGACTTTCTCGGAAACAGGGCTACCTTTTATAATTTCAATCAGATAATAGAATAAATGCCCACCATCTAACACGAGAGGGTCAATAAATTCGAGAACCATAACAAGACTAATAACATAGCAAGAAAACCAATATGAAACAGTAAATCCAATACTCGCTCTATCCTGGCTATAGGTTTAGATGGTCAACAGGACCCACTAATTACTTTTAGCGGAAGCCTCCGCCCGTAATGAGATTCCCCATGAACTTTGATGTCATTATCGACAATATTTCCAAATCTCGTGACCACCTGCGAGATAAAGCCTCGCCAACGCGTGAATGACGCACAAAGAACAAATGCTCCCTAGTCTTATCACTCATCATTTTTAGCGATTGTACCGCCATCAAACCACTTTCTTACCGTCAAGCTCTGAAGGTTGTAGGTTAATTGAAATAGCTTAATTTCTTTTTGTCGCTGCTACTTCAATGCACAGTGTAGTTCGCATGTGTGCTGATGTAGGGCGTGTCACGCCAACTTGAAGTTCGCAGCATTGCCGTCATAGCTAAAGTATTTTATATCCCCTTTTCAAATCCTGCTTTCGCTGCATATCTGCAAACTTTCATCACATTCGCAGATCCTGCGACGCCCACGCCACTCATACACTATTTAGGCAAAATAATCTTTTCATCTGCGAGTAATTGTTGTGAGGAGAGATCAAGTGCGGCGTTATTTTTTGTTATCGCTGGTTTCTACGGTTATATCAAGCTACAGGATTTTCCAAATATTCCATTAAGCAAAGATAAACGCATTTCCTCCATTGAGGCTATATCAACATTGTTAAATGCGGTATGTCTTATCTTTTGCTTGAAAACCTGCTTGAGCAGCTGCGTTCCCGCAACCACAGAGCCTACACTAAGGCGAACCGAATCAACGCCTATCAATGTAGGTTAAAGCAACAAGCGGCAATGGCAAAGAAGTTAAATGCTGCCCAGCAAAAACCGCGATTACGAAAAAAAAAAAAAAAAAAAAAAAAACAAAAGCGCTTCCAATACAGCTTGACGTTAAAAGCACGATGAACATCTGTCCACTAGGCACATCGCCTTCGCGTTCATCACAGCATCTTTTCACGTAGCCACCCAAAGGGATAGCGCCTCGCCCAGGTATATTATTTGTCGTCTTTTGGAAGTAAAGTCCACAGCCGGCTTTGCCAAAGCCCTATGCTAGCAAAACCATACCATTGATGCTAGTTTTCTCGCAACCAGAAATGACCGAATCATGCACCAGCCAATAAATACCCAATACGTCGACGATAAACGCAGGCAAATAGTGTATTCAAATATCATCAACGTATTTAGTGCTAGCCTACAGAAGAGTAACGAGACGGCGCATAAAAAATATTAACAACTCTGTTTTAGAAGGAATATATATTAAAAAAGTCCCAGATTGTTTTTTATTATTATTCTTAATTGCACATAAAAGTAGCTGCATTCTATTTATGACCACAATCTTGGCCTGTTCTCCGCTTGATCGTCCATCCTAATAGATGCCATCAATAGTATCACGGCGTGCACTTGTCCATTTTCTACAGGCATTCAATCATAAGGGGAATATTCAGTGAACGTGATTGCTTAGCAAAAAGCCTGCCTACCGCAATTTCATTCGACGCATTCAAAGCAATCGTCGTATTTCCTCTCCGCTTGATGTGCCTTCATAAGCGAGCCAGTAAGCAAGGAATCGCGTGGTAAGTCTGGTTTTTTCAAATCTAAGACGTGCAATAGCAAATAAGTCTACATTGTCTACGGCCTGACTCCAAACGATCAAGGCCACCTAGACACATAAGCAACTCGGGGTACGTCAATATCAGATTGCCATAATTGCGCCACAGACTGAACGTCCATTATAATGAAACATAGATGATAGTACTTTGGCGGATGAACTACGGATTGGTAGTCATCTGCTCGCTAGAATCAATAATCGCAGCACAGCTTCAATCACTCTCTCCCTTTATCATCATCGTCGCAGAGCAACGGAATCTTTTCCCATCACTCCATTAGTGATTGTGTACCTGCTGTCTCTGGCGTAATGTCAATTGCATAGGGATTTAAACGCGACTCGAAATGCCCACCGATGCGTCAGCAGAACGTTCGTCACACTCTTGCGAGCCAGAAGGCGCATACATTGGAAAGATGGCATTATGTCACTATAAATAGGTAATAAGTGGCATTATTGTCATGATCGCCATCATACAAAGAGCTGCTCAGTACATAACCAAGACTCTCTTGTTGGCCAGTAAAATACTGCTTATTCCTGGCGGCCGCCGCAGCAAGGCTTGCAACAGCCAGCCGCACCCAACAATCGCGCGCATAAATAATCACCGGTCTCAAGTTTGCGCACTCTTCAAAGCGCCTTCAACACCCGCCAATATTTGTTGAATATCGGGAGTTTGTTTCTTTAACGCCTTTGGCGCAATGATGCAGCTGAAGCTCATCAACCATACCGACTCAGTGAGGTGATAGCTTAAGACACCTGCTTCTAACATTTTTTCAACATTGTGTTAGCCGTTGTAGGCCGACGACCCTGAAAAGCACTAAGTACGAGAAACTCACATCTACAGGTATTAACACCTATCGTCATCCATAAACGCAAAATAGTGACGTCTTTTACTATTTTGCTCATTATTCCACTAGTCGTTATTCAATCGCCTAATATTTAAGAGAACATCACAAGGTATTTAATCAATGCCAACGATTAATAAACCTAGTTCAAAAAAGCAGCCGCTAACAACCATCGACTCTATCTAAAATACGCCCCATGAGCCTGGTAATATGTTTCCACGTTCTTCACGCCCTGCTCGCGTTTCAACACATACTTTCAAACAGTCTCCCCCTACGAAAACGCTGCTACCAATAAGTGAGAGTAATATCAAACAGACTTTCTAGCCAAAAGTAAAACCAAATACAACGCAGCTACCAAAGCGCCACGACACGCCGCAGCAAACAAGACCTCCTTTAAAGCCTGCTTTTGTCTTAACAGGCTAACTCCAGGAGCCAGTGAGTAGCCGCCATTGCTTTGGGCCAGCAAAATATCCAGCCCTGATCAGTAATCGCCACCAAGAAGACTAAATACCACACACAAGCACTTTGATTGAGGCATGTAACTCAATCAAAGAAAGCCAAGAGAACATAGAACAAGGAGCTGCAGATACGGCCACAACAACGCGGCCTTATCTTTAGCCGCTGATGATTTGCTTATATTTTTTGTTTTTTGATAATAGGTACAGTGCATACACCGCACCATTAAGACCCCCATGCTAATAAGGCGGGCCATGAACCCCTTATCCAGTAATAGGCAACAACTGCAACAAGACAGAATAAAATAACAAAAATACTACGCGATAGTCCTTCTTATATAGTTACTTAGGTTTGCCATTCCCAAGCCGCCATTGTAATCAAAGGACAATCATCGCAATCTAGCGGCGAATATTTTATCAGGCAATAACCAATACCGAGTAAAACAGCCAAGGCAAGTAAGACACCCGTTATCATTCGTTGTTTGAGCATGTTTTCTGTTCTCCGTTTAGTTGGTCTCCCGTCATTCCAAAACGGCGCTGACGGCTTGAGAAATCATCAATGGCTAACTGTAATTCCTGCTTATTAAAGTCTGGCCACAACACATCTGTAAAATATAGTTCAGTATATGCAAGTTGCCATAGCAAAAAATTACTTATCCTTCGTTCACCCCCCGTTCTGATAAATAAATCGGGGTCGGGAACTTGTTGCGTTGAGACAAACCGCCCGAAGGTAGCCTCATCATAGTGAGCACTGTCAGCATCTTCTTCTGACAGTGCTAGCACCATCTTTCGAGCCGCCTGGACAATATCCCAGCGCCCTCCATAATTCCCCGCAATCAATAAACGCAAGCCTGTTCCTTTAGATGTTAAACCCTCAACCTGCGCCATTTTTTTCTGTAATTTCTCAGAAAAAGCCGAACGATCACCAATAAATTCTAATCGAACCCCATTCCTTACTAATGATTTCGCTTCTTTTTCTAAAGCCATCATAAACAACTTCATTAAACCACTTACTTCTTCTTCAGGCCGACGCCAGTTTTCACTACTAAAAGCAAACAGTGTCAAACAACCCACGCCGATATTATTGCAAATTTTAACAACATCACGCACCACCTCCACACCTTGATGATGCCCAAACAGGCGGGGTCTATGTTTAGCCTTTGCCCAGCGACCGTTACCATCCATTACAATAGCAATATGGCGCGGAATGAGATCCTTATTCATTTTATTTTCAGCACTAGTGCTCAAGTCATGGCCCTTTATGAAATATATTTTATATCATATATTTGGAAGAGCATTATACTTCCATCAATTCCGCTTCTTTCTTTTCTATTTGTTATCAACAAGTTTTACAGACTCATCCGTTAACTTTTGTATTTCAGTTTGCCCCCTGCGCTCATCATCTTCAGAGATTTCTTTCTCTTTCTGCAAGGACTTAAAATCTGAGTTTGCATCACGGCGAATATTACGAAGCGCAACTTTAGCGCCTTCGCCTTCACCCTTCACAACCTTTACCAAGTCTCTGCGACGCTCCTCCGTCAAAGGAGGCATGGGTACACGAATCACGGTTCCTGCACTCATAGGGTTTAAACCCAAATCTGAAATCATGATAGCCTTTTCTATAATAGGCACCAGTGGAGCTTCCCAGACAGAGATCGTCAAGGTACGTGCATCTTCAATGGATACATTACCCACCTGATTCAATGGCACTTGTCCACCATAATAATCAACCGTAATATGATCCAGTATGCTTGGGTGCGCTCTGCCTGTACGGATTTTTGTTAAATCAATTCTCAAAGACTCAATCGTCTTTTGCATACGCGCTTTTGCATCGTCTATTATTTCATTAATCATACCTTATCCCTATCAAATCTCTACTCTTGTTCCAACTGCCCCACCTGCAATGACCGCAGCCAAGCGCCCTCTTCAAACATATTAAAAACACTTAATGGCATTTTATTTTCACGACACATGACCATTGCTGTTAAATC